TTTTTCCACCTCATAGAGGAAATCGATGAATGACAGAAAAGAACAAGCTCCACAGACAGAAGCAAAGCCAAGAGGCAGGAAATAAGAAAAAATTTAAAAAGACAAACTTCAAAAAAAATTTTTAGACTCTAGATTCAGTTATTCATGATACCATTCATGATATTCATTACTATATTCCACAGTTAAGGTATTTAATTTATTTAATTTTTAGTTTTGCTTATCCAGTTTGTTTTGGGTCTTATCACTTGAAACTCTAACGGTCCTAACTATAATGGTAACACTATGGCTCTGTGGGTTTTTCACATCTTCAACTGAACGCTGATCCACACACAGCAGACTTAAAGTGCCAAAACTCCCTGTGGTATCCCAAAAGGGGTGTCCTTGTCGAGATTCAGGATGCCTTCGGATTCAGACAAGCCAAGGCTGAACTGAATCTAGGCTGTATGTGTTGATTACTAGCTGTCTGAGCTTGCGTGAGTTACATATACTTGAGACTCATATTTCATCCCCAATGTGGATAATATCTGTATTTTAAGGAAAGGCATTAATATAAGCTTATAGAAGTTAGGAGACCTTTAAAGTTTAAAATTCGAAAATGTAGCACAGAGCTAGCTAATATTACTCTGCTCTTTCAGATTTTTATAAATCTGACTTAAATCCTGTATTTATATAACTGATGGGAATTCTAATACCCCCTCTAAAAGTTTCTAGACTTCTTGGCTCCCAAAAAGTGAATAAGCATCTGTGAAACAGAACTACTTTGTAACAGAACCCCGCAAAGCAACAGTCATTAAATAAAAAATATATAGAACAGGTGATCAAGTGTCTGGACTGCTCGTAGGGGCTTGATGAGGAATTATCACAGCACTGCCACCAGGTACTTGGCCAGAAGCTGAACAGGGTCTCCAGTGGCTCAGGTCCCACAGCAGCGTGAATTCACTCAACTTTCAGTTGTCCATACCTTTGTGGCTGTAAAGGCCAAAAACAGGGGTAGAAACCAACTGGGCAGAAGGATTTGCTTAGATAGAGAAGGTCAAGGTAGTCAAGGCCCAGGGTTATAGACTAAGATAGGTAAAAAACAGATGAAGCAGACATCAAGCCTATAATGAATTAACTCTAGGACTATATGTCTTCTGACCTCTGTGATTATGATTCACTTGTGAATATTGGTGCCCAAACAAGGAATAGTTCTCTACAGATGGAGCAGTTTGTCTCAGTCTTTTATTCATCATCATCCCTCAAAGAAAACTTTTTAGACATCTTTTTCTTAATCACCCACCCCATGAAAATTTAATACCTTAGATATTCTGTATATCTGTTTATATGGTCCCTTTGAAGGACCATAAGCCATTGCAATATCTAAGATATTTTTGCCCCCCCTCCATGAAGACCAATTTTCACCGCTTTGGGGATGATACCTCCTACAATGAGAATGCATGAGACAGAATTTGTTCTTTGTTGCCAAAAATTAGAGGTCTGTTTTCTAGACACTATTCTGGCGTCTACTCTTCTGTCAGACCCCTTAGATTGTTTCAGATGGACTAGTGAGTTGGTCTAAAATGTTTGCCTGAGGGTCAGGGAGGACAGGAGGTGGGGGAAAATTGGTAGAATACTCTATGAGAAATAAAGATAATAGCAAACAATTATCAAGTGCTTTTTGTGTGTCAGCCATTTTACTAACTGCTTTACATATATTTCACTCAATACTCTCTAATTTCTCATGAGGAGCTTATTATTCTTTGTAAGTTATGAAAAAGAGATCTGATTCTTAGAGAGGTTTTATAACTTGTCCAGGATCGCACTTCTGGTTTTGTTATCCTGCTATACTTTGATGAGGAAGATGTAGAAGGCTCAAAGAAGTCAGGAAATAATATGCATACACTGGTGAGATATTTTCCATGAGATGGGAAAAAAATCTCATGATACTGAGGATCAGATTTCACTGAGAGTAGCCTAGCCCAAATTTGGAACTAGAAGGACAACCAAACCACATCAGTCTGACTTGGTTGTGTATATTTTATAGGACCTATATTTTATACACTAGGCTTAGGTCTCAAAATCCTGAATTTTAGTGGGATGAACAGGGGAGAACCTGATGGTCCCAGACATCATGATAAGGGACAGTACAGAGTGAAGCTTCAGCTTGTATGTAAGGGAATGTGTCCCCAAAAGACCTGTCACTGTGGTTAAATGCTGCTAGGGCTAAGAAGTAATACAAATCATCCAATTAATATTCAGCAGGTATCTAAGAATTATGCTCAGTGTGTGATTCATGTCCTCCATTCACCCATTAGTATGGAGTCCTTAGATCTTGGGTAAATGGACCTAAATGACTATGAGAAATGAGATGCTTTCTGAAATGCAAACTGAAGTGAGAACCACCTCATTTTCTCTTAGAAGCCTTCACCATTGTAACAGTCTACATGCAGAAAAGAATCCCTCTTCCTCTGAATATCAGGACTCTTTATAAATCCTTTCTTCCTTTGAGTATCAGGGCTCTTTATGCGCATACCTCGTGTTGTAATTTTGCACTTTTGTTCTATTTCCCCTATAATGGTGTAGCAAACTATTGCCCAAAGGCCAAATTTGGCCTGCCATTTGTTTTTGCATGGCCCACAAGAAAAGAATTTTTTTATATTTTTAAATCGTTGAAAAAATAAAAAGGGGAATATTTTATGATGTAAAAATTATATAAAATTCAAATTTAAAATTTCAGTGTCCATATATTTAGATTTATTGCTACCAGCCACATTCATTCTTTTTTTATGTGTTATCTATGGCTATTTTAGTGCTGTCATGGCAGAGCTGAATAGCTATGATGTAGAATGTATGGCCCACAGAGTCTAAAATATTTTCTATCTGTCCTAATACAGAAACAGTTTCCCAACCCCTGCCCTAGAAGACTGTAAATTTCTTGAGGTAGCGGCCATATCTGAACACAACTTTGATAGCCCACAATGCCAAAAGCACTGTCTACAACAAAGTCAATGCCTACAAAATGATCAACTGTAACTTTGTTTTAGAGAAGGCTGAGAATAAAGATAAAGTTGGTCAAATTAGAGGAAAAATATGACCTTTGTGACCTTGTAATTGAAGATACTGAGATGAAATTCAGAGATACTTTAGGCTCAGTGATGTCCACAGGTAAAAGGGGCACATTAGTCTATACCCATGTGGACTATTAACCTTCGCCATTCTTGGACTTCCCTGGTGGCGGAGTGGTTAAGAATCCGCCTGCTAATGCAGGGGACACGGGTTCGAGCCCTGGTCAGGGAAGATCTCATATGCTGCGGAGCAATTAAGCCCGTGTACCACAACTACTGAGCCTACGCTCTAGAGCCCACAAGCCACAACTAATGAGCCCATGTGCCACTACTACTGAGGCCACGTGCCACAACTACTGAAGCCCCCATGCCCTAGAGCCCATGCGCCACAACTACTGAGCCCATGTGCTGCAACTACTGAAGCCCATGTGCCTAGAGCCCGTGCTCCGCAAAAAGAGAAGCCACTGCAATAAGAAGGCTGCGCACCGCAACAAAGAGTAGCCCCTGCTCACCACAACTAGAGAAAACCCAGGTGCAGCAAAGAAGACCCAACACAGCTAAAAAACAAAAACAAAAAACCTGCACCATTCTCAAATCTCACTCCTGTATCTCTTCCTCCTTCCCCTGTACTCTCAGCCATGGGTACTCCATCTTATTTCACAGAGAAAATAGGTGCCGGTGGAAACCCTTCAACTTCTGATCACCAACGCCCAAACACAAATCAACCAAAAGCCAATCAACTGACTTAATAATGAGACCAAAAACAAAAGAAGAGTCCCTCTTTTATACTCCTTGAAGAGAGTGAGCGGACCCACCATTACCATAGTTTTTGTCTCCTTCGCTTACCTATCCCTTGTGTAATCATTTCTTTCCCCTCTTTTACCTTATTTAGGTTTATCCTCAGAGACAAGGTACACTCACAGACAATGCCAGCTCACAAGATTTACAGAGATTAAGTAGGGTTTTGGTGTGTGTGTGTGTGTGTGTGTGTGTGTGTGTGTGTGTGTGTGTGTGTGTGTGAGATGGGGAGGGGAATACAAGAAGGCCTTTAATGTGGAGACTTGAGAATAACATCTGCAGAGCAGACTGACCTACCCTGATAACACAAAATCAAAGCTGTATTATCTTTCACTGGCTTCTCCAAGAAAACTGCTTTTCTTAGATTAACTATGTCTTAACATTGTATTCATTTATTTCCTTGTTTATTTGCTTATTTTTTCCCCAAGGTATCAGAGAAAAGAAAGTTTGCTGAATTTTCAGAAATTACAATTTTACCTTTTGAATGGTACCCAATATACAGGCAATAGTTTTCTTATTAAATTATTCATATGCTAATTAGCAGTAACTGAATCTCATATTTTTCTTAAATAATGTCATTGTGTACAAACAACCCTTGATTATATCCTTAACATGGTAAAATATGAATTTGGTCAATGTTTCTCCTCTCATTTATTTCCATTACTCAGACAGAGTCTGTATATCCATATGCAGTAGGTCATGCACAAAAACAGTTTAATCAGCGTTGATAGCAGCGCCCTCCTTAGGATAGTGCCTCACACAATTAACGAACATGACTATATATGCCACAAAATATTTTAAGTGAGTGTTCAAATAAGAAAATGCATTTTGTTCCCAATAGAAATACAATAACCTCTTTAAAATGTGGCTGAATAAAAATCAGTGTTCCAAGGTAAGATCCAAGAATGGGTCAATGATTACAATAATTTTTCATGCTGCTATCAAAAACAATAAATGATATTTTCCTCAAATACTCTGAGGCCATATGAATGGATACTGAGTGGTTAACAGTGGGAAGTTCTATTACAGCAGGGCTTAATTTGTCTCAACATGCTGCTGTGACATAAAAACACCCTTACATCCCACACCCCAACCCAATCACTCAGCCTCCTACCCGGTATCACAAGCACACGTTTTGTCATCTCCTTCCTGGTTGCCAGGGCAATGCAGTTACAATGCTTCATATCTGAGTTGGGTGGGAAAGCATACAAGCAAAGCTCTCTTCTCTAAGTGATGCTCATGATTCATCAAGTTGCCAGATTTGACGTTAATCCGGATAATTGCCCTAGTATTTTCTGAAAGGCCTCCTTCACCTCCTTACTCCTCAGACTGTAAATCATGGGGTTCAGCATGGGTGTCAAAATGGCATAGAAGAGAGAGATCAACTTCTCCTGAAGGATAGAAGGGCTGGAGCGTGGTTGGATGTAAGTGAAAATGGCCATGCCATAGCACAGGACAACCACTGCGAGGTGAGAGGCACAGGTGTGGAAGGCTTCCTTTCGCCCCTCTGTGGACTGGATCCTTAGGGTGGTGGAGATGATCTGGATGTAGGACAAGAGAACCGAGCAGAAAGGTGTCATCAGCAGAACAATACTAGAAACCATGATTGCGATCTCATTGGAGGAGGTGTCCACACAGGCCAGCCTGACCACAGCTAGGAGTTCGCAGGATATGTGATCAATATACTTGTTGTGCACATGGGCAACTGAAAGGTGATGGTGGGCTGCATGAGAGAGTTGACAGAGGCACTGACCCAGGATGTGATCGCCAACCTAATACAGAGCCCTCCATGCATGATGACCAAGTATCTCAGCGGGTCACACACAGCCACATAGTGGTCATAGGCCATCACTGCCAGTAGAACAAACTCAATCCCACCCAGGCCCAGGGAGGAAAATAACTGGGCTGCACAGCTCACATTTGGGATTCCTTTATGTTCTGTGAGAAAATGCACTAGCATCTGAGGGACAATGCTTGTGGCATAAGACACATTAACAAGGGAGAGGTTGGTGAGAAAGAAATACATGGGAGTGTGGAGTCGGCTGTCCAGTCTGATCAGAAGAATAATGAGGAAGTTCCCCGGCACTGTCACCAGGTACATAACCAAGAACAGGACAGAGAGAGCAACCCGAGTGTCCCAGTCACTGGACAGGCCAAAGAGAATGAATTCTCTCACCAAAGTATGGTTATCTGCTCCCATTTAAAAATGTGAGGATTATTAATCTGCAGAGACAGACAAGAAATAACAGGATCTACTGAATCACAGAACCATAAAAATAACTTTTATCAATACAAACTATATACAATTGGCCACCCTTAGTCAGATGTTTCACATCACTCTCGGGCCAAGATGACAGGCTTCATCCTGATATGCACTGTATCCGTTCTGCATCAGAGAACAGGACAGCACCCTCGTAAGGACTTGGTGTTGCCCCCGGGAGGCCCAGTTAAAGCCTGAAGATGATGCATTACAATTTTAGGAGCTGCACATCTTTACCAACCTGCCTACGTTTCTAGGGCAAGGAAGGATGGTAGATAACAATGGCAGGTAAATTGATAAACAGTGAAGAAAAGCTTGGTGGGAAAGTTACAAAAACTACCTTAAATATGTCAACTAGATCCATTACAATGACATGTATAAATCTATTATAAAAAGAAATATTGAAAAGAGGCAGGGGCTTGTGAAAAGATCTGGAATGAGAGAATCTAGGTTTGAAAACTGATTTTATTTACCAGCTATGTGATGTGGGTTTAGTGACAAACTTTTCCATATGAAACAGATAATATTATACAACTCACAAGTACATTTAAGCTCACATGTAGGTAATTCATGGAGAAAGTACTCTGTGAACTATTACTTGTAGCAGTACTGTAGTAGTAGGGGTATTAGTAGTCATATGATCTCTGCCTTGGCGTAAATAAAGTAGCAAACATGATTTTCTCATGCAACCCCCCCCCCCCGCCAACAATTCAGTCATAAATAATATTGGAGGCAATTTTTTTTTTTCCCTAGATCCTTCTGTTTTTTTTTTTTTTTTTTTTAACTTTTTTTTTGGGGTATAATTGCTTTACAATGGTGTGTTAGTTTCTGCTTTATAACAGAGTGAGTCAGTTATACATATATATATGTTCCCATATCTCTTCCCTCTTTTAATAGAACTGAGGGCTTAGGAATAGCTGGGTCACTTTGAGGACCTGGGGGCCATTTGTCTTTCTGATAGCCTTGGGTCTCTTTAGCCTCAGTGAGATACAGTGGGGTAGATGACTGTAATTGTACCTTGTTCTTTTCATTTTTCTCCTTTCAACTTGCTGCTGTTAAACATCTACCCTTTTATATGGGCTCAAAATGAAGGAAATGAGAGTGTGAATGCTTGACTGTTTATTTACAAAAGAGAAAGGGAAGCGAATGTTTAAATACCTTTTTTTTTTTTTTTTTGCTGTATGCGGGCTTTCAAAAAAAAAAGAACAGTCTTAGGTTAAAATTAATCAGGTAGCATATCAATGGAAGATATTTCAGCTATTTTAATAAAACACTTTGCTGTAAAACATAGTATAATTCTACAGATAATATATTTTAGAAGTAAGACAGGACAAGATTGTGGATTGTGTGGGAATTCTTCTGCTCAGGATGAACTTAATTCTGTATACATTTAGACATCATAGATCTGTTTGTGCATGAAAGTGATGTGAAGAAATTTGTTTTGCACGATTAACCTGGAGGCAGTGTGTAGGATGTGTGGAGTGGGTAGAGCTTACATCAGGGAAATTTACCAGGAAGCCATTACGCTTCATAAAGTGGGACTGATGAGGGCAAACGTAAGTGTGAATGAACACTAAATGAAAGATGGAAGATATGTAATTAAAACAAAGATTTATTTATTTATTTGAGGCTTAAATAAATGAGGATTTATTCTATGGAGTGGTGAGGAAGAAGAAAAGAATCACTCATGATGTTGGAAGAGTGGGAGAACTTTTAGTTCCATTGCCAGACATGAAGAAATCAGGAAGGAATACAGCACGTGGGGAGATGAATGGAGATGTTCGTGAGATATTTATGAAATATTTTTTAAATTGTTGGGAAGAGCATCTGGAGCTTTGGAGGGAAGTCTAGAAGATAAATGTAGACTTGAGGGTGAGCTACATATAGTTGATAATATTACTGTAGTCAGAAATCAAAAACCCTTCAAGAAAAGAAAACTACTCTAGAAAGAAGAGTATTAACTGTGAGCAAGAAACTTACAAAGTTCTCACTGTACCGGGGTAGGAGAATTTAGGAAAATTACCCAAGAATGCAGATGAGGAATAACAGATTGGAGGAAAATCCGATCAGAAGTGAATGATAGAGTTGAGAGTTGGAAGGAGGAATTAGTTAACACTATTAAAAGTTAGCAATGAAAATGAAATGAACGTTTCTGAGTTTGATGCCTAGAAGACCATGAGTGACCTTTAAGAGTACAGTTTCTATGGATTAGTGAAGGTGAAAACTGCACTTCCATGGCTTAAATGAAGAATGTTTTGAGGAAATAAACCCAGCAAGTGGATACCAATCATTTGAGAACTCTGATGTGAAAGAAATAAATTAATTAGAGTGAAAAATAGCAAAGATTCCTCTCTCCATGGTGAGAGGCATGTATATTTTTTATAATGAGGGAAAAGGAGTCCATCAGAAGCAGGAGAAACCCCAGGATGACAAACAGACTAAATGAAGAAATAAGATCCTGAAAGAGAGAGAGAGCATGGAATCAAAGGTTAGATCAATTATCATCACCAAATAACAGGTACCTGCCCTAATTCAGTCATTAGTATAGGAATGTTGGCTCTTCAACTGCTTAATTTCACCGATGATCCTTTCAGTAGGCCAATATCATCCACATTATATAGATGAAGAGTAATGAGACTCAGAGAGGCCAAGTGGCTTGCTTCAGGAAGTGGAAGAGAATGAATTCAAAGCTGAAACTATTAGACTCCGAAGCTCATACCTGCACTAAGTGGCACTGTCACCTGTTTGTAATGAGGCACAAGCTGTAGTAGAGAGATGTGCAGGGTGAGTAAAAGGAGCACGGGTGAGTCATTGGCTGGCATGTTCTCCAGGCGGCTTGCACATGCACCAGGGGAAAAAAAATGATGTGATGATGATCTGTTTTGTGTCATTGCCTCTATGGATGGGTTAGCTCTTTGAACACAGGTAAATGTAATATTCACCTTGAAACACCAACATCTAGCCAAGATGAGACTTTATAGATATTTGCCAAATTAATAGAAAAAGAAATGTCTACTTTCTGCTGCAGATCTGCTATATATTCAACAAAGTTAACAGATTTTTTAAGTTAAATATTTTCTTGCAGTCTCACAATTATAGTTGAAGGCCTTCTTTGAGGCAAGTAGATGATACTTCAGCCTGACCATGTTGAAGAAAAGCAAAGTGAGGGGTGGTGGTATCTTGATAGAGCAGTGGAGGACATCAGGTTTGTGGACATTACAAAAGAGGTTTATGAAAATTTATGTATCTGAATCATGAAGTATATGGCCATTTCTAGACCTACTTGATTTGTTTTGTCCTTTAACAGGTTTTCAACTTAAAAACGGAACAATTATTTTACCAGCAAAATGGGTTTATTTGGGAGAGGGTTTATTGCAAGAGAAATAGCAATTCAGGACATGCAAGCTGTTAGCAAAAGCCATAGGCAAGTCCCACAAACAAAGGAGAGGAACCTTATAGAGTAAAAGGAGGATGTTGGGAAGGGTTGTTTTGAACCAAAGTCCTTTGGGGGAAACTGAATATTCAGGGTTGTGATGGTTTCTCACTGGCTGAGTTGCTGGGGTAGTCGGGTTACTTACAAGAGATGCAATGTGTGTATCTTTTCCTGTTGAGGTTTGTAATTGATGATTCTTTCCTGTTGATGATTCTTCCCTGGGGCCTATAATTGACAATTCTTCCTGTAAATTGACAATTTACACTGATGGTCTGCTTGAGACTCCCTATCAGGCCTCCCTTAGTCAGGGTTTTCCTTTATTAATTTTCACACAGGTAAGAGAGTTCATGCATAGACAATATTCACTTTTCTGCTCAGAGACCCTACCCCAACCCCTAAGGGTTTGTGGATGACACAAGCAGCTCTGTTTCTGCCCTCAAGCCCTCTTACTGCCTTATCTCCTATTTTCCTTTATTTTGTACTTTATTTTGTACACTGCAAGAAAAGTTAGTGAATTAGGCAGGCATGGAGAAATAATAAGAATGAATCAGTCCTATAAAAATTTTTTTAATGTAAATGGATTCTTATTAATATTCAAAACTGACATTATAACATACAATTCTACTGAAAAAGCACTTTCTGGGTGAAAGAAAGCAAAATGTCAACTCCATTCCTCTACACATCTACATGAATTCATACCTCCTTCTCCGCCTTCGACAGAGTAGCCCCCATTTGCCGCAACTAGAGAAAGCCCAGGCGCAGCAGAAGACACAATGCAGCCAAAAATAAATTAATTAAAAAAAAAAAAAAAAAAACTGAGACCCTTACAAATGACAGAGGGATGAGGAATGACACAGAAATTACAGGAAAAATCAGGCATGAGGTTTGGAGAGCAAAGACCAACTCCTCACAGTTAAAATATAACCTTTGCTGAACCTAGTTAAACGTACCTCCATGTGCCTTCTCCCATTATTCCAGTTATTAATACAACAAATAGAACCAAAATGCCTTCTATGACAAAGAAATGAAAACAGAAAATTAGTTTTCAGATTCCTAATACAACACATTTTATATAATTTAATACAACTAATTAGTTCAGTATAGTCAGTTATGATTTTTTTTGTTTAAATAAAGAAAATGTGTCCATTTAAGCTTAAACCTATTTGACCTCTGTATTGGGATTCTAAACAGTCTTGGATGGGACAAGTGAAAGCCCTGAATAGAGAAGGAGAACACATAACTGTGGGTCCCACATATTTATATACCTGCAGATATGTTTATTTCATGCTGATCAAAAGAAATCAGTCATACCTTTATAAAGCTGAACTGTCCGTAGCAATGGCACTTTCAGTTAAAGAAAGAGTTCTCTGACTCGTGACTCAAGAGTTGGCTGACGTAGACACTGAGTGTATCCATCTTGAGTAGTAGTATTTGCATCATCCTCAGGGCCCAGGGCCCTCTGGGTGGCTGATGTCTCAAAGATGAGTTTGACATGCTGAAAGAAGAATTAATTTTTTTTTCTCTTTGGGATCTTGTTAAC